CCCCAAAACCCCAAAACCCCAAAACCCCAATAAATCCCAAAGAGTTGAGCCGACATAATAAAAATTATAACACTTGTGTGCAAATTCAGTAATTATCTCATTTTAGATCTTTCTTGTGTTAGTAATTTCGGGCTGACAGGAATTGTAGGCATTTTAGTTGACTTTTTACTAATCATTCAATGCTTTCCTCTCCTCTGTAAGTCATCAACCCTTGCACTTTTGGCTCTCTTTTCTGTCAGAAGAGTGAAAGGTTTTACTTTGGTTATCTTTTTAGTTCCAAAATGAGGCCTCCACTGTTGATTCCTAAGAGTTAGATGAAAGTTACCCAAAATTAGGCATCTTCCTGGCTACGAAAACACCATTCTTTAAATACTGGGAATCATCTACAGATTAGAACTTTCTTACCAAGAGATCTTGCTCGTGGATTGTCATTTTTTAGTTTAATTTCTTTCTCTATTGCATCCTTGGTGTTCTTTCTCAGCCTGTTGTGGTAATTATTGGTTTCTTCAGAAAGAGAAGATTGATTATCAGTTGAAGTTTTGGATTTAGCTATCCTACTCTCTGTAGGTTTCATGTATCTTCGAAACGGCCCTTTGGTTTGGACTCTCTAAAACTACTTTAATTTCCATATTACTACCTTTTCTTCTTCAGATTTATTTTCAAAAGTGAACGTCTCATGTTCAGTGATCTTTTCACTAAATTTGGCATAAAGAATGTGGGATACCTATCCTGATATTTTTGAGAAGCGATATTATTATTATTGGCCTGAATCAGATTTTCTTTGTTTTCCCTATTCCACTTCTTTCGCTGTTTTCTTGGCTTAGCCTGTTGGGTTTGTTTCAATCCTTCTGTAGCCTGACTATCAGATCTCATATCTATATCAATCTGATACCCTTCAGCCTTTGCTCAAAGATTCTTCGCTGTATTTGAGTCTCTCTAAAAATAAGAAGAAAAGTACTTTGAGATAGCTCCAGAAAGGAGTAGGCTCTGTTTGCTCTATGACAGTGTCCAAGTCTATTAAAGTAAAGGAGTTCTAACCTTTTTCTCCAAATTTCTCATCCATTCTATCTTTTAGCTTCTGTTTTTCTTCCTAAGAGATAAATTAAAGGGTGGGTTTAAGGTATTAACTACCTCAGTGAATCTTGAATCAAATGAATCTCTTCTCACAATCTTGAATAATTTACTTTTTGATTTCTTTCTTCTCTGACAAGCTTCTTTGATCATTTTAAGATCATCAGAGATACTATCATTAGAAGAATCCAGTGTTTTCTCTCCCTAAAATTCGGTTAGCTTCCCATAATCTATCGATAAACTTTGAAAAATATATATCTTTGACCAACATTTCTTCTTTTAGCTTTCATTTGATCTCTTCGCTCCAAAAATTTATTTCCTTGTTTGCTTGACTTTACTTAAAAGTGCTTGCTTTTTCCTTCTATTAAAGTCAGATTACATGCAGAAGTACTTGGCTTCTCCTATAAGCAATTATACAAGTGAATACTAAGATCTTCTTCTCTTGCAACAGCCTCTTCTTCGTATTCAGGAGGATGAACGGTGATCGAGTTTCTGCCTTTTGGCCCAAATTTGCCTATAAATGATCGATCATAATACACTCAGAATCTTGGAGAGCCTTTAATCTCTTAAATGGGTCTTTTTTCTCAGTAAATTTTGAACTCTTTCTCATGCTAACTTGCTGAGGGTTGCTAGATAAACTCTGTTGCAATGACTGCAGATCCATTATTGAGAGAGCTTCGTTTTTTTTATTTCTTGGTTTAGGAGGATCTATTATTCTCGTAATTTATACAGCTCGATACCTTATCCAAAATACTGCACTACCTTGTCAAATTGAGCAGAACTCAGGTAGGATGTGTAGTGCAGGACAAATCATTAAAACTTACTATTCTCCATTTTGAATATTGATTTTAAAATTATCAATATGTGAGAAATACCGCGGGGTTTTGGGGTTTTGGGGTTTTGGGGTTTTGGGGTTTTGGGG